CTGGCTTTTCCATGACCCACAGGAATACTAAGTAAATTTCTGCATAGGTCAACAACAATGCAAAGGCCACCATTCAGAAGTACAATTATCAATAAAGTATGAGTATATGTACAATAGGGTATACATGAATTAGTACATCATATGACTCTTTAGTCTTGAAAAGAATCTCCATCTTTTTGTACTTGGTCTCTGTAGAACATAATAGGTATGTTGCGGAGACTGCTTCAGAGAATAATCAGTCCCTCTTCTGCATAGTCTCTAACAATGGGTCCAACTCTTTCAAGAACTTTTGCATTTAGGGAGTAGACTTGAATGGTAGATAAGGATTTTAATCAACTGGGAGTTTTATATGTAGTGTTCAGTAAATTTTGCTGATAGTTGTATTATTTTTAGATCATAAATAGTCTGATAAAGCATCTAACGGTAGATAATTATTTCCTATAATAATTAAATATACTAAGTGCTTGTTGATGAATGTCACACTAAGTTGGGTTTTGAGGATTGATTTAAATGTAGACTATTTTACCTTTTTGGGAAAATGAGATGTTTGCTTGAAGAGCTTTTAAAAAACACTTTTCCTTATAAGTATAGATAAATAAAGCTAGTAAAATTGATAAACTCCTTGGATAGGTCCCAGTAGGAAACAATTGGGCTCAAATTCTAAACTATGACAGGTTTACTTGAGATTCTACTAGTTAAAAAGTTTATTGACTCCAAGGAAGGAGAGCCATGAACAAAGAGGATTAAGAATCAATAAAGTGGCTGCTGTGTCACTTTGGAGCAGGGTAACCACATTCACAATTAAATGTATATCACCCAAATAGTTTTTAGTAATTGTCAGTAAAACACCTCTTAATTCTTCAGAGTAATCTCAGTTTGGGAAGGCATTGGGATGTATGTGAGATTACATATTTAAATCCTACTATTGGTGTTAAGGCCCGTATTATAATCTTCCCCACTATTTTCTTAAATAGTTGTTTGCTTAATAATGATAGTACCCTGGAACAAATGTAGATATTTGAGAAATATGGTTTGGGAGATAATTGTTTCATTAAGAGATTCATGACCTGAGAAATCTGAATCTGAGTCCATAACTTTAGTAACTTTCTCTTTAGATTTCTTTGAAACCATTTAGGACATTACCCAGCTAAGGAACTAACTCATGAAGACTTTTCTCAGTCAGAGTCAGGGAATGCTTTTTGAGAAAAGTACCTTAATCTTCCTAAAGCCTGGATAAGAAATTAAATTGAATTGGCTATTGACTTTACATGTTAATATTTTAATATCTGAACTCTGGAAGTAGGTCTTTCCAAAATAATTGCATAATCATAAATGCATTTACCAAGTTCAATATATTGTTGAGTAGTGAGAAGTCAATATGTTTGAGACTAAGATATATTTTAATGAAGTTTTATAGATAGTTTTAGGCAGATATTTAGCCTTTTAGAAATTCATCTTAAGAAATCTTTAGTAGTGTCTTTCCAAATGATCACTGAAATCCACTCCCTATGTTGTAAATTTAAAAAGTCAAATTTAAAAAGCTAACTTAAAGATAGGCTTTCATTAAAATCTCAACTGAGTCTTCCTTAACATTTGGAAAATCTCTAGTGACAGCAATTCAGCTCATGTTCCAGGCCACATATATAAATGCTTTAATGATATAGATATTAAACCTAATTTCAAAAGCTGAAGGTAAAATGAATGAGTGTCAGTGCAAAACTTTTCAGGGGGCTCAATTTCAGTATCATACAAGAAAAGTACAGGGATAAAGGGACAGCAGGGAAAAGACCAAGATAGTGAGAGGGAGGGACGAGCAGGAGCAGAGTACTCAGAAACCTCTGAAGATTTTTCTAATATGGAAATCATTTGAGGCAGCTGTGAATTTGTTTCTCCAAGAGAAGTGATATTGAATTCATATTATATTTAGTAGCTTCACACACCAATTAAGAAACATCCATTCAGTTTGTTGAATTTTATGCATTGTCTCTATTTGAATGTTCAAGTGAACTAGTTTTGAATTGTCAAAAGAGTTCCAAAGGAACCAGCATTGTTTTAAATCATCATGGACAATTACAACTCATCATGACAAGAATTTACAAGAAGGAACATAAGTGTTAGACATAAAGGAAACCAGAATTCTGAGTGACAGCCGCTTTGCAATCTCTTAGAGACATAATTAATTCAACATGAAAGTTTTCTTTCCTGAAAACAAAACAGTCCTCAAGAGTAAGAATGCTCCCCCTAGGTAGCTAACAATGATATAGCACCCAAATAAGATGCAGGACTTCAACCAGGGAGACAGGATGCTCAGAAAATGACAGCACTTATTTCATGACCCACAGCTGCTAGGGAGTCAGTGCTCCAGGGGGCATTTGAATGCATTTCCTCTTTGGCAGCACCGGACACATTGATGAGTTAATATGACTCCCACTTCTGATGCCACACAATTTCAGCTAGCACAGAAACTGTAAAAGAATAATGGGCTCATTCGTGATCTTAGAAATACAAGTCAGAAAAATGTAGATTCAGACAGTTCTGCATTAGTCCTCTGTAGATCTTCAGGCTGGTTGTGGCTTTTAATGGGAAGCAGAAGACAAAGGCATTTCCTCTTATAACATGCAAAGGAAGGGGGTGGTGCAGAGAAAAAAACCGTAACAGGAAGTTGGTGCAGAGAAAAAAACCGTAACAGGAAGCTGTGCATCACCAGACGGTGATGACGTAAAGTTTTTGTTCACTTGTGAGAGCTTATCTCTAGATGTAAAGATCTCCAGATGTAAAGTTTTCATTCATTTGTGAGACTTGCTCAGCTGCAACTTTCCACACAGGGTGTTGTAGGCTTTGACTCAGTTCAAAGGTCCTATAATTTTTGAGCGCCCACTTCAAGAGTTCTCTTTCTCAGGAAGCAGCCTCAGACATGCATGACGCTGGTCCTCAAATTATCTCCCTACCTTATCTGAATTTTTTTCTTGACTGACCTATGGATTTAACATGCCTGAATAAATATAGTGATGGTTCAGGATGTGGGGTGAACCTCTGCTACTCATTAGACGTTCTTAAAGAAAACCAAGGTCTAAGTGTCAGAAGATGCAGGGTCTTGACTGCCATGAAATGGTCAAAGTTTCAGAAACAAACTCAGACTTAGTCTTTGCTTTATCTGAAAATTGTTTCTCTTTGTAAACAATTTTGGTACACTTTGTTTTGTGTATGCTAATCTTATAATCAATTATTCTGTTCTACTCTTGACTATCAGTCTTTTCCTCCCTTTCTCCCTCTTTCCCTCCCTCTCTTTTTATCCCATCTTCTAACACATAGACTTCCAGCAAAAACACAACCAGGAGGATCTTACAGCTCTGCTTTAGAGAACATGTCCCTGAGAAGTGAAAGCTGTTATGGAAAGCTGAGTGGAATTTTACAGGACGTGGGTGTTGGTTTTGATATGAAAGATCTTTTTAAAAATTTCGTCTGACATCATCCTTGCAGGAGTTGATCTGAAGGGTTTCAAATTGTATATTAATACCCCTAAGATTCTACAGCAGCTCTGGCTGTGAGGAGAAGCACACAGTAGTCTAGACTTCTTGCTAACAACTTACTAGGGCTCATAATATCAACAGTTGTTATTATGTAAATTTGACACAGAATAGAGCAGTTGAAAAGTGTTTGACAAAATATTATGTGGTCCATCTAGATGAAATGATTGAATCAAATCTTGGAAAATTAGCTAAACATGAATGTGAGCATGCTTCAGGCAGAATGTGTGCTAAGCATATTGGAAGCCCTGGGTCCAATTGCCATCCTCTTCCCAAAGAAGCTAAGCGATCAAAAACACTTGGAAACAGGAAATAGTGATAATTGCACAACATAACAACCATAATGTACTGAATTATATGCTTAAATAACAAATATATGTATTTTTACCGTAAAAAAACAGACATAATGGGGCCATGTATTTTGCATTTTAAAAGAAAATTCATTTTGTGTGAAGCCAGAATGAGCCAGTAAACCTTCAAAACCAATGTTGAGTCACATACTGTTTTAGTTCAAGATAGATATTCTAGATGAAGGCACAGGTAATGTTCAAAATTCTGATGCTGGTATCATTGAAGAAGGTGAAAAACCATTTGTGATGGTCTCCTGGAAGAAGGTAAGGCAGTTTCCCAAGTGACAGGAGTATCACTATGTGGAAAGAGGAATACTCATCCTTTCTGTTTCACAAGGTAAAAATTGATCTCATCGGTGGATCTCTCCATTCAAGTTACAGATATTGCCTTGAATCACAAACATAAACAAATTGTGCTAGGACACAGAGAAGGTTGTAGAAAGCTGTATTCTACTGTCACAGAAGTTAAGGGATAATTATTTCTGATGAGGTTATAATGATTCCTTCTTTCAATGCTTAATCTCTTTGTGGGCTAACTTTCAAGATTCATTTATTTTTAAAAAGATCCTATTTATCAATGTTTTATTCTGTAGAAATGTAATGAATATGAAAATTCTCTTAAGACTTCAATTTCCACTACATGGCAGGCATTTTATGCCAATTACTTACAATTACTCTGTAAGCTAAGTTTTATTTTATTATTTAGCAAAAAGGAAAAACTGAAGCATTAAATATTTTCATAAAGTGTCAGATCATATATATAGCTGCTGAGATGCAGAACAAAAGTGAAAAGCCAGTTATGCTGGATAAATCTGGGAATCATTTTATGCCCTGACAGACTGACAAAATCAAAGATGGGCAGATAAAGTATTAAGATTATTCATATTAAAGGAAGGAGGATCTAAAAAGAGGTCTCAGGGATCACTGACACAAAAATTATTACTTATTTACCTGTTCATTAAACATATGGAGGAATACCTTTTTGAACACAAGGATCTAATCACAGTAGCCTTCATTTGTATGAATTCAAGAATTTTGTCTATGTATGTCTACAGATGTTTTGTTTTGATGGTAGATAACAAGAAATTCTTAGAGTCTTGAACCTTAGGAGTCTTCAGACTCTTTACCTGAATTTCTCTAAAAGTTTTTGGAGAGCAGCCATAACGTCCTTATTTCTCAAGCTGTAGATCAAAGGGTTCAACATGGGAGCCACCACCGCATAGAACAGAGCAACCACCTTCTCTTTCTGTACAGAGGAGGCAGAATGTGGCTCTAGGTATGTGAAGATGGTAGCCCCAAAACACATACAAACCACAGTGAGGTGAGAGGTGCAGGTCCCAAAGGCTTTGTGACGTCCCTGAGCAGAACGAATGCGTAAAATGGCAGTGACAATGTGAGCATAGGAGAACAGGACCAGGGAACAAGGAAGCACAATCACTAGAAATCCAGAAAAGGCCACCATGACCTCGTTGAAGGAGATGTCCACACAGGCCAGCCGAAGCACTGCTAGGGTCTCGCAGGCAAAGTGATCGATGACATTGTAACACAGGGGGAGCTGGAAGGTGATGATTGTTTCCATCAGTGAGTTGGAGAAACCAGCCACCAAGCAGCTGGCCGACAATGCCAGGCACAGCCTTGCATGCATGATAGCTGTGTAGTGCAGGGGATAGCACACAGCCACATAGCGATCATAAGCCATGGCTCCCAGCAGGAAGAACTCAGAACCACCCAATGCCAAGGAGGCCCAGAGTTGGAGCACACAACTAGGGAATGAGATGTGCTTTTGGGCTGAGAGGAAGTGAGCCAGCATTTGAGGGGTAATGCTATTTCCATAACACAAGTCCACCAAAGAGAGAACACTGAGAAAGAAGTACATTGGGGTATGGAGCCTGCTGTCCATTCTGATGAGGAGAAGGATGAGGGAGTTCCCCATCACAGTCACTAAGTACACGACCAAGATGAGGAGGAACAGGAAGACCTGAGTGCCCCAGTCACTGGACAGTCCCAGGAGGATGAACTCGCTCACCCATGTCTGGTTGATTTTGTCCAAGCCCATGAGCTTCAGGGTTGGAGGAGACCATAGAGATGGCCTGACCTACTGAACTTAAAATTCATCTAAATCTGAACACATCCCTAGTGAAGAATATAATGTGACCCAGCTGTGCAGCTAAAAATCAAGAAGGCAAAACAGTTACAGTCTCAGAAATCAATTTAGCTAAACATACGTTCTTCTAGCAAACATCTTCTCTTAAACATGGAGGAAAATTAACAGAATATGATAGACTTCAAATCCTATTTAATTTAGTAGTTATTATATAGGGGATAAGTCTTCCCTATGTGGTAAGAAAGTTCTTGTTTCAAAGTAAACATATTTTTATAAATTCTAAACAATGTTTGGTGTTATTTATATTTTCTCTGTCATGTCTACAGATAACATATACCACCTTATTCATACGATCACAGTGAAATCCATCCATGAGACTGAATATTTTAAATAACCATCTTTATTGGGGAGTAGTTTTAATTCACTCGGAATTAATTCATTTTAATCCTTGCAACAAATCTCACGTAGGTTGTATAAAATGGGACACAAGTCCTCCCTTCCATATAATTTCATGGTTAGTTGCTGTCCAAAACTATCAATGAAAAATTCCAGAAATAATCAATACCTAAGTCTTAAATTACCACTCAAAAAATCATCTTATACATTGCATCACTAAACAATTTTGAATTTATGTAACTTGCAATTTTACTTTTAGAATGTCAAGTAGAAACTTTCTCTCCACTTGATACTAGTGCTTCTCTTGGTCCAGACCAACCAAAATATCAGTCTTCCAAAACAAAATATTGCATGATGTAGATGCTAAAACCAATCTTTCATGTCCCCTGAGAAGACTTTAATGAGTAATAATGTCATATTTCTATTTAATAGTAATATTCTCAGAAGGAAAGAATAGTTTATTCTGTAAGAAAAAAAATGTATGAGTTCTCATTAGTGAAGACAGGAAGACAGAAGATAAAGCATTAATTTCAGAATATAGGTAATTATATTGTTTTTTTGTCTACTTTAGCACCCTGTTAAATTTCTGCACAACAAAATAAGCAATCAACAAAATGAAAAGACAATCTCTGGAGTAAGTGAATATATTTTCAAACTACATATCTGATAAGGGGATGATATAAAAAATATACAGGCAATTTATGCAACATTAGCAAAAACAACAAGTGAAACAAAATAATAACAAAGAAGAAAGAAATCTTATTAACAAATGAACCTACTAAGATTCCCAGCAAAAAGGTTATTTATAATCAAAAGTGGTATCTTGGTAGAATGTTCACATAATTTTTAACCCCATAATTAAAAATCAATTGTCTTAAAGATTTTGTGTTCCCTTCCTTGTAAATTTTCCATTGCACTATTTCTATTTGTAAATAAATTTCTTTTCATTCTTCTATATCTTATAATGGCATAAAAGATGTTTGTTCTTTAGCCATTGTACTGGTCATAACATTTCCTAGTAATGGAACAAATTTGAACTGGTAAGGTCTACAATGTTTGCCCACCTTGATTTACATTATGTTAGTTCTCCAATGCTTTGGTAAGATACACCAAAAGCTAAAAAGACCTCCTTACAAAACACAGATAAATGTAATATCTGTATGTGCCTTTTCATACAAATGTTTTGGTATTTTTAAGACTTCCTATATTTACTGTTTTAAGGATATGTGGACCAAAAAGCTGTCATTAGGTTCATTTTGATGAGTCAAAGTTTTGTTTTTTTAGTTTTTGGGGTTTTTACTGGTTTTTTTAGACAGATTGGCCTTGAATTCACTTATGTACTCCAGGCTGTCCTTGAACTAATGGCAATCTTGCCTCAGACTTCTGAGTGCTGGGATTACAGTCATGTACCAGCACACCCAGCAGAATTCTAAAGAATTGATTAAAATTATTTTTCTCAAGGGATGTTATTTTAAATCTAAAGGCTTGAAGTATATTTTCTTCATGGCAGAGTGTTTAATTTTTCTCATATTTGATTTTCTCCTTTCCACCTGACACAATAGCTAAAGACATGGAAAACTGCAGTTTAGAAAGAACTCTTGCTCTCTCTCTGTCTCTCTCCCTCTCTCTCTCTCTCTCTGTCTCTCTCTCTCGCTGTCTTTTTTTTCTCTCTCTCTCTACACACACACACAAACACAAGCCAGGAATTACTGACAAAGCAATTAATAGTTATTTTGTCTTTACTGTTTTATGATAGAATAAACAAGTAAATTATGTAACTATATAAATCACATACAAAAACTTAAACTATACCAAGTTAGAAGGAATAATTTCTAAGAAGTATATATATATATATATATATATATATATATATATACACAGTAAAGGAATTCCAAATATTTCTCTTACTTTGAATGTAAGACAAATTTAAGTCATGGTTTCTTAGTCCTGTCTTCCAAGAACTCAAACAGAAATTGAGGCAGTAATGCTCCAGATATTCTCTACATGTACATACACAGTGCAATCTAAAAATAATGGTAAATTATTAATTTCTTAAAAATTTATTGCAGTTAAAGACACACTGCCAGAAATCTCCCACACAATATTCCCCTTTGCTTTTGTGTACACCTCTCCCACAGTTCTTGTCACTTTCTGAAGCTCTTCTGGAAGTCCTCTTGTATATTTTATCATAACTCACTCTCCCACACAGGGACATCCATACAGAAAGAATGAATAAGGGCAGATTCACATAAAACATTTACACTTCCCTCACTGAATTTAAAGATAATCTAATGAACAGCAGCAAAACAAGTGATGTTTTCCTACCTCAAAAGAAAAAAAATTCCAAAGGAGAGAATTTGTGCTCGCTGGAAGTCATGTTGCTTTCGGTCAGCAATGGAGCCAACCAAGTGTATTCTGTAGTGATTTATTACTTATATCAACAAGTGTTGGAGTTTTCAAATAAAACATGTCTGATTTTTTTGAGAATTCTGATGTTTTTTAAAGTGACAAGTGTGAAAAATGAAAGAATACATATTAATGACAGCAATCAAATAAGAAAACTTACTAAGACGCGATCGAGAAAACTTCAGAATATTACCATAAAATAGTTTTTCATCACTTATACTGCAAAAAACTCCAAATACTTCACCAAAAGTAGGAAACACAAAAACACTTACGCAGCTAAGTCACGTCCGTAGCATTACTGAACTTCTTAAACACAAGATTAACTTCGGTTCTTCAGCCACTATGTTATATTACGATTCATCAAGGATAATAAATATTTCACCAGAATCATCCATGCATTTCCAAGGCACAGTGGAGATGATCATAAAACCTTATGCCTCATTCAAAGACCTGGAACAGTTCTGAAAAAAGGTATACACCAAACACAGATGAAAAACCCAGTAAAATGCGCAAAGAACAAGGAGAGATATCAGGCCTGAGCCACAGAATAAGCTGAGAACCCCGGGGCTATGCTCCTCTGTGGACAGCAGCATCTTGTCCCCTTTGCTCTGCCCCAGATTATATGTCATTTCCTGCCTCGTGGTTACATTGCCCTGTTTTCTTTTCTCATCTTTACTATAGAAAACTCAGAAAATTGAGCATCGAGCAAACCCAGCTCCATTGAGCAGCCGATCCAAATTTTTATTTCAGATATAAGCACCTGCATTTGGTGTTACCATGACATCTGTCTTTGGATCATTTTCATGCACCTCAGCATAATATTTTTATTTTAAAGTACCCTTTGGATGGGATTAATGATTTATAGAAAAGCAAGTATTCCCCTAAACCACTGCATATGTGCTTTCCACATTAGAAAATCAAGATTGTGGCATAAATTGTTCCTTTCTCAGAACACATAGCTTTATAGTGATAATTTTTTAAAAAAATAACAAAAATAATTTTTATTGAGACTGTAAAAGTGCAAATAACCTTGAAACTGTAAGAATGTTTTTAAAACATACACCAGCTAAACAAGCTATCTTTCAAGCATATGTGGATACTGTGTCATAGGGAACCTACATTATATTCTGACCAGCCCTAGCCTGAGCAGTGCTGGGTCACATGTAAGACAGATATTCTAGTTCAAAGAATTGTTCACCAAGCAGAAAGTGAGTATAAAGACAAATTTCTGATCCAGGATCACTGAATTCTGGCCAAGAAGATGCACAGGCTATAAACATCAAGGCCTTAAATCTGCAGCTGATTCATTAGGAGAAGCAGGCACATAACAAGTTGGAAACTCTAAAATCCTCCCTAAATCGAATGACTAGAATAGTCAGGCCAAATTGCCCCTAGAGAATAATTTTATCTCTATACTTTTAACTAAACTTTAGGTTTGAAGGAGACTTGTATGATTCATGTCCTTCAATAAATGTTTTCTAAAAATGCTGGACTCACCTCTGAAGAGTAGAAAAAACCATGAGTGTCTTCAGAGGATGATAAAGGATGGGAAAGTTTGGAATCTGAAGACAGTGCAACTGGAGCAGGTAACTTTTTCAGACTTTAGGAAGGAAATCTCACGAGGCCAATTACACTTTGTTTATTAGATTTCCTTTCTTTTCCCTCCCCCTCTGTCTGGTCATTTCTGCACCTAACACCTAAACTCACATTTCAGTTTTGCAAATGAAAGTTTGCTTTCTTTGTCCCTGGGGCAAGGGAAAGAGCTTGCCAAAGTTTAATTTCTCAAAGGACCCAAGTCTGTTCTACACTGATTCTACTTAAACTGGCAAGTCTTTTTATCCTACTTGGAAGACATGTAGACATCATCATATCCCTAGTTCTCCATTCCAATTTGCCACTTTCCACGTCTCTTTGAGAAATAGCTCCTGGCCCAGGAAACGCAAGACACTGCCATGATGCTGTGGTGCATGTACTGTGATGCAAGCATGGGCACGGGGATGATTTCATTATGGTTCCCAGTGAGATGCTGCTTATTTGTGGGCTGCTCTCCACGTTGGGAATTCTACTACCACATCTTTCAGTGGTCTTTAGGATTTTAATTGTTTCTTTTCATTTAAAGAAGGAAGACGGACCTGGACAAGCACATAGTT